GTGTGTGTGTGTGTGTGTGTGTGTGTGTGTGTGTGTGTGTGTGTGTGTGTGCTCTTGTGTTTGTGTTTGTCTTTTAAAAAATATATTTAAAAATGCTATTTTCAATTATGAAAAAGTAAACTGAATACTGTATTATTGTTGGGGTTTTCAAAACCTTCAACCCCAAACAACTCAATGGGTAATTTCAACATGATCTAAATTGTTGGTTATTGTAATACTGTTAATATTGTATGAAAGAGATTTACTTTCAAAATTCCTTTAGATGTCATTATGTTCCTTGCAATAATATCTGAATTATTATTTTTGTTACATTGTTTGTGATTTATTTATTTGTTTCGATTTGATCTGACATTCAATAAATAATTAAGTTTTCAGTTAATAAATCTAGACATTTCCTTAGCCTGTGTGTCTGTGCGCGCTAGTGTTTGTCTAAAAAAAAAGTAAATGCCAACTTCAATTAGGGAAAATAAGTAAATTGAATACTGTATTATTTTAGTGACAGGGAGGAAAAGCAGACTTTTAACCATGATTATATTAGTCTACAAAACCTTATATTTGTTTTATAAAACCAAGGAAAGGCATTCTGAATGTTTAAATATGTAAAAACTGAATTTAAAAAAATATTTTTAACTGATTTAAATTATTGATTCTTTTTTTATGAAGTTGATTTTTTTTTTTTAAATTAATCTTTAAATCGACCTGATTTAAATCAACCCAACCCTGATCTTATGGTAGGTAAGATCTACACCTAACCTTCTCGGATAAGGGCGAAAAATCTCGGAGGTCCTGTGTGCAAGTTGAGCACATCAAAGATCCCTTTGTGGTCCAAAATCGATAAGGTAGGCTTCGGCCGCCACCCGGGCAAAATTCAAAATTTCCTACCAACTTAAAATGTTTGGGGTGTCCCGTGCGCTTCTATGACCTCATGCAGTTGCGAGCGCCGTAAAACGTTTCCCCAAAAATACATACATACGTACATACACACCATACATACACACACATACACACACACAGGCAGACAGACAAACAGACATACATACATACATACATACATACATACATACATACATACATACATACATACA